TTGAGCAATTTAACTCAGTAAACTGAAGAGCCATCAAGCTGGGAAAAAATGCACCTGGTTCAGTATTACTGAAGGTCTGAGATGTTGCATTTATATGCTTTTGTAAATTCCTTCAGAGGATTTTAAATGGGAAGGAGATACAATACATGGTATGAAGTATTACAACTCCATACCTTCCAAAAGCCACTCTGGAAACCTCTACTTCTTCCTCAGTACAGAAGTGGGCATGGAGCCACAGTTCAGCAATTACTGTTAGTACTCTCTATATCCTTGGGTTAAACACTAGAAAGAGAATAACTGTAAAGCTAAAAGAATGTGTTGTTTAAGAACTTGAGGGGCTAATGTCATGATTAAAAAAAAAGTTAAACTTCTCATTAAATGGGCGTGGAACTGGACAAGACTATGACTGTGGCTATTTGAAGAAATTAGCTAGAACTCGGCTTATTTCTATCAGGTCCATCCACCTAGTGATTTCTGAAAGAGGTGCTTTTACTAATGATTTACCAGCAAGGCCTAGGCTTAAACGTAAGAATCAAGGTGTCAGCTGCAAATACATATATACCCTTTTGTAAGGCCAGACCTTGTTTCAGAAGGGAAGAAGCAAGTCCATTACCAAACTAGCTCCCTCCAAATTTTTGCTGGCTCTAGGAAAAAGCTGGGATTTCAGACAAAAGGTCACAGGAGTCCTCCCTATCTAAGCATATTAAAGGTAGAAAAGTCTTGGAAAGCCAACATTGGTTTGCGAGTGCTATAAATGGAGGATGACACACAAAAAAAGAGCCATGAAAGCATCGCTGCCAACCTGCTTCAAACACAATGGAGCAATACAACCCACCCCCTCAACAACAACCTAAGGATTTACAGAAAATATGTAAGCTGAGAGTAAAGTGCCACTCTACCTCACACAAAGTATACCTAAAATGTGATTCATTAACACACAGACTGAAATCATGCCACCATTAAAAAAAGTCAAAGGCACTCCCCAAGGGGAAAAAAAAAAAAAATCTACCTCTCATGCATTCAGAACAACTAACTCATTTGGTTATGCTGGCAAAAAAGTTATTCTGTCAACTCTGAGACATCATCACCAAAAGCAGAATTATCAAATCAGTTTACAAGAACAGACCGCACACACATAACAAAATTTTTCAACTAGCGATGGGCATATAACACAGTAAAGATGTTCATAATCTGGTGAAGTCAACAATGACAGTTAAGATCTTTCTCAAGGAAAAGAGGTAACACATCTCTAGATCAAAGGTGTGCAATGGAAAGGCAAGAGAGTCGAATAGTTTCTGTCATTCAATGCAGTTTGAAGAAGAAAACCATTAAGCAGAACACAGGATATTCCAACGAAGACGGCAGAAAATACAAGAGGAAGCAAGCTACTTCTAATACCAGTTAACACTCCAATTATTCAGTGGAACTCCTTACCACAACATGAGAAACCCATGTAGAAACCAGGTCTTGCTCAAATAGTTGCCGAGCTACAAACTACAGGAAGAATACTCAAAGAGGTATCATGTACAAAGAGTGCAAGTGTACCCTAGACATCTGCTTTTGGCCACCAGTAGGGGTAAAACCTTGAGCCAAACATATCTTTCTTCATGCCTAACACAGCTACTTTTAATTTTTTTTTTAGTTATAAGCAAGCTTATTTTTATTGAAAAAAATGAATACAAAAGCTAAGAATACATTAATACCGTCACTTAATTTCTTTTTTGTATTTTAAAGTCACTCAATCACTTTCAAGTCTTTAGAATCTGCTTCTTACTCTGATTCTTGGGCACTGCTGAACAATATCCAAAGCCTGCACCGGTATCAGAGACCCAAATATCCTGCAATCCACACAGTAGTCAAGACACTACTGAGCTTTCCTCTTTCCAAGCACGTGTACCTCTATAGAAGAATCCCTCAAATCACTTGCAAAGGAAAAGCTGAACACTACACATTGTGAAAGACACTCAGAATTTCAAGAGATGCTCTGCTAGAGTAACAGTCTAGTTGGAGGATGAAAGGAAAATGATCTTTTGTTCAACCTCTTCCTGCTTGACAACAGAGGTCTCTATCACCTCAATATGGCCTCAATATTAATTTCCGCCTTATTAATAGCTAACCAAAGCAGGTCAGACTTATTCAACACACCAGCTGACATTTCAGCAGTGAGTTGAAGAACCAATTCCCCTTCATTCAGATCAACTGACAATTCAGATAGCCCAGATAGAGAAAGTCTGGATAAAACTGTTGCTTCAACTTGATGTGGCCATGCACATTTTACTTGGAAGTGCATAATGAACAGAAGACTCCAATTTCTAGAAACAGATTTAGATCTATCCCCAGCTTTTTAAATAAGTGATTACAGAGATTTCAGTTCTCATCTTATCCCCAGTTTACGTATGTGCTAAGGATTCTGAGTGCTCTCAGAAGCCACCCTTTTTGTCTTCCTTCTGCTATGAGAAAGGAGATAAAGGTGATTTTGAAACCAGAAACCTCACAAAGCTTAACAAAACCTGAACTTAGTGCCTTTTACAAGAAAACAGAACTAGGGAAGTTGTCCTTCCCTATTACAGTTTTAAAAGCAACTTAACTGCCTGGCATTGCTGCCAAAAAGGACATCTGAGAAAACCAGACTGAGCAGGGAGAAGTCAAGTACGCAGGGGGGAAAAAAAAAAAAAAAGAATCCAGCTACCCCAAAACTGGGAAATAGGAAATTAGAAGAAGAATTCCCCTATCACAAGATCAGAAGTAGAACTCGCTCTCTTGTTATTTAAGAGTTTAGCTTCAAGAGGTTTGAAAGCACCAGTTAAAACATTGCATATTGCACTCTCCAACTCCCATTCCTCTAGTGCAGGCCATGCAATTCACACTTAGGTATGGCTCATAAAACGTGAGCTATTATCCATAACACAGCTTCATATACACAGCAGACTCCTATGCTCATAAGCAAACAAGTTTTATTTCTCCTTTCGCCCACAAAGGAGAAGGAGATCAAATCAACACACTGCATGACTGGCAGATATATACTGCCTAAGATCACTTGCATTCAAACAATGTGCCTACAGGCCTTTCCAAAACGCAGGACCCCAAGATCTGTGTAATAAGAAATGCCTAATGCTATTACACATCAAAGTCATTTGGACCAGACATACTGCAGTGATTTGAGAGAAAATACGTACGGTAGCTAAGGCAAGTCTCTAAATCTAGAAAAACAGATACAGGAATTTGTTACGTATGAGAACTTCATCTGCTGTTTTCCTCATGCTACAAGAAAACACCTTCCAGTGCTATTACAGTAACATCTTATTGACACTATCAATTTTCAGAGCTTTTTTCCCTTAAATAAGTTTTGTCCATTTCTTCTCTAATCAAGTAGAGGTTACCACTGCAGCTAGTTTGTACTAGCACTGAAGTTACAACTTCAGATCCCTGAGTTTAAGGGGAAGCACAAAAGTGTAATTTTAAGTTTGAATCCAAAACAAGCAGAGCAGACTGAAGATGAGCCTTCCAAAACATTAAGAACTTCATGTGCACACATGCAGTTACACCAGCATCATGTTCCAGGGTTCACCAAAATTAAGTCCATCTTTATATGGCAGAAGTTCACTGTGCTTTAAACTCCATTTCCATAAGGTCATGCTTTACTGGTAGAGCTCAGGGATCAGAGACGAATGAAAAGGAAACAGCTCAGAACCGAAAGGTCCCTTAAGGGCATCATGAAATGTCACTTGTACTTTGAAAATGAAAAGCAGCTCATACAATTTCAGGCAGTATTATCTGACTGATAAACTGAACACCACTATTCAGAGTTCCAGGCAACACTGTGCCATAAAATGTTCATTTTTATTATCAATTTCAACACAGTGCTTGAGAGCCATATGCCAGCATTTAAATACCAACCACTCAATACAGTCTTGCTAATTATCTTCATTTATGTGTACTAGTGCACAAAAAACTCAAACAAGATCTGTGTCCCTTACTACATAAAGTCCAGTCCTGTAACAGCGTGGCACATGTCAGAAAGTCCAACCACAAACACAGAAATTGTGCAAGTCCTGAGTTAGGGCTGATGATTTAAAACATCTTCCTTTTTACTTTTACTATGAGCTTCATGTGCCCTGTGCCCCCCATGAAGACCACACTCTGTACAAAATGTTCTCTTTATGGACTACACTAACCTGTTATAGCTATACTTCCCAGAAGGTAATGTTTACTTCCAGTTAACGTAAACCATTGGACCTTGCTGTTAACTGCTTTTATGAGATTATTTCTGATCACACTGACATCTCTTCTCTGCACTAAGAGGTGTATTCTCTCCTGGACACATCTGTAACTTCCAGTCAAGTTCAGTTCTTCCACTTTACCTTTTTCCCCAGACCACTCAGACCACAAGAGATGCAGAGATAAATCAGCAGCTACGGCCCGATAAAAGAAAAAATTACAAAGTACAATGCATCGACTTTGATTCCTATCAAATCTACACGCATCACACGGGTCCCTGACTTTCAAGAGCTACTACAATACACGTGAAACCCTTAACTTCAAGTCAACTCTGTCCTGAATTCTAGTTTGTCACTTCCTAAGCACACACACAAGTTTGCGGTCTATGTGTCAAGCACAGAGAAAAGCGTCTATACTTTTAGAGCACACAGTCCCCTTAAGCCTCCAGGATCTCCTCTCCCACTCGTTTCACCCGAAAGAGGGTTCTTCTTCCATTTTATGAGGAAAAAAAAAAGGAGATTTAACAGCCGTATCCCCACCATCTGCAGCAAAACGCTGCCAGGGAAGTGTGCTCACACTCCTCCTCTCATCTTCAGCCTGAGTTCTCCCGACCCACCGGGATGCTGGAGGTCCACTCCCCGAAGCCAGGGAAGCTCCTCCTGGGTAGCCGGGTCGGGGAGCTGCACCCTCCCTGTCCCCAGTCACTCGCTGTCACTGCCCTCGCCGGGAACAGGAGGCCGGACCGGCCCCGGCCCCTCCCCGGTCCCAGTCCCGGTACCCACCGGCAGCGAAGTGGAGCGGCGTGGACTTGCGTCCCGCCATGTCCTTGGCGTTCACGTTGCCCGTGTCCACCAGGCGCTTCACGCGCGTCACGTCCCCATTGCGGCAGGCCTCCAGCAGCTCGCGGAAGGCCCCGCTCGCCGCGCCCGG